AAGCTCAAGAAGAAGTAATTATAAAAGAAAAGAAAACAACATTGTTGTCCTTAAAAATTTTAAAAATAAAATAAAAAGGGAAAATTGTTAAAACTAGAATAAGGATAACCGATCCTAAAACTTGGCAGTTTCCTGTAACCCAGTGTCCAAACAATGCCATTTCCGATAAAAACGAGGGAAGCCCAGGCAAAGGCAACGCAACAAATCTCAACAACCAACCACTAGCAAACTAGAAAACGAAAGCTTCCCATTCCATCTATAAAGCGCCGCTCTCTTAACTCGACTCTCACCTGGTTTTCCTCCCTTCTCTCTACAGTCTTCGTGTTCTCCGCCCCCACCTTCCTCACATCTCTGAATTTCTCTTCGTTGAATCCATCCATCGAACTCTTTCTTCAATGGCCTCTGTCACGGGAGCTGCTTCAATGGGAATGACTTGTCTCTCTTTCAAGCCGAGCAAGGTTACATCTAATCTTGGTCTTCAGGTTTCATTTTTAATGTGTCAGTTTTAAGATCTGATTTTTGGACTTCTTCTGATTATTAATTCTCATCATACCAAGTTAGAAATGGGTCCATTTCTCAAACGGGGTTTTGTTGTGTTATTTTTTGGTTCTTTTGTACTTTCAGTTCATTTATTAAGTAGATTTCATTAATGGCTTTTTTTGATTAATTGTTGAAAGTAACTCAAACAGACATGCATGCTTTCTTGGGGATTTTGTGCTTACGTTGCTTCTTTCTTAGATTCTAACCAATTTACTCAAAAGGGTGTTCTTTTGAACCTGAAAGTAATTAATAATAATAATAATAAAAGGCATGCTTTAAGAATTGAGTTGATTTGTCCTGTTTGGTATTTTGAATATTACTAAAATCTGGTCATTTTTGGAGTATAAATTTAATTAATTGGATAAAATATGGGAAATTGTCTTAGTTTTCATTGTTAAAAGGAGATCTGTTGTTCAATATAGTGAAAGTATATGACTTTCAAGAATCAGTAGGTTTGTTTGTTCAGATTGGATTACTTGGGGGAAAACCAGCCAACAAGACATTTATGAGCTCTTTGCGGCGTCAAATCTTTCAGTTTTTCAATGTTATGTTGTATCTTTTTTATTGAGACTTTGGTCAATTGTTTGAGCAGGTACCAATTCATGGGGTATCAAAACTGAAATCAGTTTCCTTTTCCATCAGCGGGAAGAGCCTCCCATCTCTTAGAATGCAGCCTGGATCATCCCGCTTCAGGGTTTCCTGTGCGGTATACTTTTCTACTCCATATACCATGGGTTTATTATATTATATTATATTTTATTATTTTATTTTTAAAACCATGTGCCATATTTGTTGTATCTATCTTAACAAATGATTCAATTAGGAATGCAATATTTCACTGTCAAGTCCTAATGCAATTTGCTCGAACTATGTTGCTAAATATGTTTATTTTGACATACAAAAAAGGCCGCTGTAATAGTTGCATGGAAAAGGTTGTTTCTTGGGGCACATATGTTGCTATAAAGAGGCACTATTTGATCAATTGTAGATGAAATCTGAGATACTGTTGTCTATAAGATTGACTATTGTTAGTGCAATTTGCACATTTTACATTCATTGAGACAGTACATATATTTCTCAATCTTTATAAAACATGTACCTTTTCTACATCCCATGTGGTGTCAAGCATTTAGTTGCATCTCTAAGATTCAATATAATGCATAAATGCAATGTGGATGCCATCTTGCAGGCTAAGGCAGAGACAGTGGAGAAAGTGTGTGAAATAGTGAGGAAGCAGCTGGCACTACCCGAGGATTCAGCAGTCACCGGAGAGTCTAAATTTGCTTCACTTGGAGCTGATTCTCTAGACACGGTAATGGAATAACTAGGACAAACTGCTCATTGATGCTTAACTTGCTTGCTTTATGCCTATATTATGGTATTCAGTCTGTTAAGATGAATTGACATGTATATTCATTTCCTAAAAAGGAATTTGCATGTATCATATTATACTTGTAGTCAAAAAGGTATCAAGAACCCCAATACCATCATTATGTTTAACATCGTATCTGTTCAGGTTGAAATTGTTATGGGACTTGAGGAGGAATTTGGGATTAGCGTGGAAGAAGAAAGTGCCCAGAGTATCACCACGGTTCAAGATGCAGCGGATTTGATCGAGAAGCTCATCGAGAAGAAGGGTGCTTAAAAGGAGTTACGGCTTACCCCAGCTTGCCCATGCTTGCCTGCCCATGTTTTCCATTAACTTTCAGTTTGCTTTCTTGTTTATGGAACTTATAGATGATCGTTTCTGTTAAACCCACCATAAAGGTCGCCGTTAATCTTTTCTTTTAATTATCTACCATTCAACTGTCACCTCTCCCTTTTTGGGGTATCTGTCTCACTGTGTCATCAATATAATTCAATTTTTTTTTTTCTTTTTGGGTGCATCTCAGTGTAGTCCATACCCTCAGACACAGGGAAGGCTCTCTTTTTTCCAAACCACTGCTTATTATAGGGTATGAACTTTTAACCTAGGATTTGAAAGTTCCATACTCAAAACCTTTGGATTATCCCTCGAACTTAATTTAATATATTCAATTTATGATCGGAAGCAATGCCTTACCAAGGGAATAGAAGATGAGGTCAAAGTTTTAAAATTTTTTAAATATAATTTTTATATGTTATTTAATAAATAAATATATTTAATATTATGAATTTTAAATAAATAAAAAAATTAATAATTTATTTAACATGTAAGATTATATAAAAAAATTGTATTAGAATTATTTTTTATTTAGGTTAGACTACAAATGCATCCATTTCTCACCTAATTAGGTTACACTACTCGGGAAGTGAGGCTTCTTGATTCCAGCTCTAGTCCCTTGATCCAATTATCGAAGGCTTTACCGGGTGGATTTGTCGGTACTATTTGTCCTTCTAATGAAGAATAAGAAATACATGGGACTACAGTATCTAAATTTTATCATATTAACGCCGCTACCCCAATAATGGTAATGATTGCCAACCCAAAAGTTGCTTTTAAGCATGGGGGAGTTTCGTAGCTACAGAAAGTAGATAGGGATCTACTTTGGGTCAGCTTTTCTGGTGGAGTAATTTAGGGAGCTAACTATTGAATTACTCTGTTCAGGTTTAAGTTTGATTAAAGTTGGCCCCAAAATCTTTGAAATGCCAGAAATATTAAGGTCCATCAAGTAGATTTAAGAAGATAAAGATAGGATTTCAATTCAGGGAGGATGGATCGAGAAGAAGATTCAAAATGATCCTCCTCGGGGAATCTCCATCAACATGACATTCATTTCCCAATTTCTTATGCAACATTTCTTAAAATGTTATATATATATATATAGTTTTTTTTTAACTAAACTTTTTGATGTTCAAAATTTATATTAAATTTAAATTAATTTAAAATTAAGTTATGTTGAATTTTATAAAAAAAAAAAACTCTTTTAATACTTATATTTTCATATATAAAATTTGAATTTAAGTGCTTAATTAAGAAGAATTGATTTTCTTCCATTCAAAACAATAAATTGTTGGTATAAATACTATCTTAAAACATTATACATTTAGTATTTTTTAAGAATAAATTTAAGAAAAAATCAAATTGAAGAACAAAAATTGGTGTCAAAACCAAAAATATATGTACTCGTATAGGTTGATTCTTACTTTTCAAAAATTATGAATAATTTCAGATTATTTGGAGTATAAATTTATGTAATTAACCATTTAAGTGTTGCCTTGAGTGGATCACCTTACAAGGGTCAGTTGTGGTGGGGGGCAAAAGAAGAAGTTGGTGCTAACCAGTTACCTAGTTACAAATTTCCAACTAATATAAAAGCAAAAGAAGCTGGCATTTTCCCCTTTCACCTTTTTACTCCTCCCATACTTTTCTTTAGAACGGACAAGTCCATAACAAGGCCGAATGAGTGGTATCCTGTCACAGCATGGGCCTCCAAAAAGGAGAAAGGGAAAGGAAAAGGGACTCCTAAGGAAGATACCAATAGATCAAAACAAGACAAAACAAGTTACCAAATCACCACTATTATAATCAACCTGGTTTAACTAACATGTGACTGTATACTCAAGAAAAAGAGACCAAATTCATGTTAAGTTTGGTGTATGGCACATGCTCTCTCTTGTTCAAAATAAAGATAATGCACAAAACCCAAATGGGATTTGACAAAACCATGTGCCAATGCTGCCAAATCTCATCCAATTCATCAAAGAAATATAAAATGGAAGGACAATAAGCATCAACTTTATATTTTTGGTGGGGTGGTGGGCTGAAGCATCAGCTTACATGGTAGATTTTGTTAAAGATCCATGAGGGTTTCTAATGCTAAGCGAAATTCGAATTTATCTCTAATATCTCAAAGAATACAAGCATACAACTCTAATAAATTATTAAAAGAGCGACAAAAGCAACAAATTGTAACTAAGAAAGAAGCTAAATACACCGTATAATGTACCATAGGAGAAGAAGAAAATGAAAGAGAGAAATTAGCATCAGGCAATCAGCCTAGCGTAATAAGATAGTACAAGTACAAAAGCAGCCAAGTTTAGAGACCTAGCTGAACTTTCAGGAGCAGTGGATGAAGGCGGAAAAGACGCAGAAGGCGGAAAGGCAGAGTCAGGGCCCAGGATTGAGAAGTCGTCTGGATTTGGGGGGCTGGGGCTGGAGGGAATAGTGGGGATGGAGGAGCCAGTAGTAGGCACCGCTCCGCCAGGAGTGGGGAGCAAGGGAGCAATGTCAGGTGACAATTCTTGGAAAGGAGACTGAAGTGGATTTGAAGATGGTGAAGCTGAGATAATGGGGATCCTTGAGTCTTGCCTGGAAGCTAAAGATAGCAAAGGGGAGGCCATGAAAGAAATGATGAGTAGTAAGAGAAAGGAAAAGGAGGCCATTTCTAATGATGAAGAAATCAATGTCACACTTATTGGAGAGTGTATTCTAATAGGAATATATTCCTGGGAGAAGCAATCTTCGTTGTGAAAAGTTGAGGAGGGGCTGGGGGACTGTAGGGAACGTGAGCCTTAAGGTTGAAGTTATCATGGAGGCCCTTATACAGCTATGACCAGAGCAGCTGGGTGGGGTCAAGTCCCACATGGCAAATTACTACTGGTTGGTGATGAGAAAATACAGGTTGGCAGGGTTGAAAAGATACAAAGATTATTGAATTTTGTTCCGACATGTTTTTTAGGAGATTATTTGATTATTCCTTTTAGCCCGTGAATGTTGCAACCTCCTAGTCCTACCTATGTTCTAGTCCCCATTTTTCGGGTGATTGTTTCCTCCTCCGGTAATTTCAGGGATAAATCCAAAAGTGTAACAATGGTAGTTCCAGTTAGTCCTCACCATGGAACCCATTTCAGATTCAATACAGTATTTATACTTATGATCTGGATCTCATGATTAGGACAGCAGCAAGTAAACTAAACCACTTCTGCTGAAAATTAAACCAAACTAGAGTTGGCACCTTCTCCACAGTCTAATGGTGCTCTAGAAAATCCCAAATCAAACAAGCTGGTTTACATAATCAATCTAAAGACAAAATGTGTTTGAAACCAGCACCTTCTCGATAGTCTAATAGTGTTCTAGAAAATCCCAAATCAAACAGGCTGGTTTACGTAATCAATCCAAAGAAAAAAACGTGTTTGAAACCAATTTCAAGTAGTCTTGTTCAACTTGAATATAAACCAGGTCCCTGATTTTATATTTTATTGTTTCAATATTCAATTTTACTACTCTCTGGAGGAAATCCGAAAAGGCATAGTTTAAGGAAACAAGCAAATATTAAACTAGCCAAATAGTAGTTGAGTCAGATGGTTTAGTTGTCCGTTAATCACGAAGATTACTGAAGACAATAGCTCCCCATAAAATAACTCTTTTCTACGGTTCTACCTGAGGACACCCAAGAGGACGTCCAGTTCCTATTTAAATTTTTTTTAAAAAAATCAACAGTATTCTGAAAATATTGAAACTAATTTCAGATTTCTTGCTGAGGTTCTAAGTTCTCTTATATGTAAACAAAGACCAAACTAATAGGAACGGCATTAAGTTCCTTGTATGGATGCATCCTCTCTGCTTCTCATATGCAATTGTGCATGCCAGTGTACTAGCCTACCTGAAAAATATACTAGCTTTGTGCAGTTTGAAGCTAAATCCAATCTAGAATTCTAGATACCGAATTCCTATACCCCAAACTGCAAAGTTTTTAATTTCTCTTCATTAATCAGAAAAGTAAGGCAGATTGTTCTAAGCTTGCACAGGGCAGCTTCTGGGGCAACTAAATACCAAAGGTCAAACATTTAACTAGAAAACTAGAATTTTAACACTTCTTAAGTTTTTATCAAACTTGCATAGCCGTCAAGAAGTTTAAGAAAAAAAAAATTAACAGAAAATGAATTTATTCAAGTGAAATCTCCACCAATGGCCAAAAAAAAAAAAAAAAAGTGAAGTCTCCACCACATCAAGAAATTTTAAAAATATAAACTGGAACCCAGAAATGTAGAGAAGTGTGACCAAATAGCTTTTTAAGCAAAGTCTTGATGGGAAAAATGGTAATCAATTGACCATGTAAATGATGAAACAATATTTGTAGATTATACAATACAGGCCAACAGGCCAAGAGAAGGATTGTATGCTTGAAATGTGCATAGAACCATTTAACTCACCTGGAAATCATGAGTCAGAGAAAAGTCGATTGCTAGCAGAAATTGAGAAATATCTTTCATGGCTGTTTGAAAAGTTGATTAGATCATAGTGCCTGTAATCGAAGAACCCTACTATAAACTACAGTTCTACAGCAAAATACACAGAAAGAAGGGGAGAGAAAGAGAGAGAATAGAATTATGACCTCAAGAACTTTAAATGCATCGAGGAAGCCGCTGCAACTCCAATCCCACAAGGGAAGCAACATTGGCTAATGCAGGTATGCTTGAGCTCTTCAGCTCAGAAACAATGGCTTCAAGACGTGTAATCTCCGATACCGATATCGACAATATCATGGCATGTGAAAGATATTGCCTGCATGAATAACCAAGTGCATGCAGCATTCGCTGCAATAGCAAATGAGAAATGCTCTTACGCCAGGACTCAAGAATTGCACCAACTTTTGGAAGATTGGTTAAAAATCCAGTTGTTGCTTCCCTTGGAGCTGCTTTGAATAACAACACAACACATTCAGAAGCTACATCTGCGACATTTGCTTCAGAGGACCCACTTAACTCCAGCAAAACACCAACATTGATTCCAAAATCCGTTATATCTCTTATGCACTGCTGCTGATCAAGTGCACTGCTTGCCTCAGAAGAACCATCACCTAAAAGCACTGGCTCTTTTGTATAAACAAAACCTTTTCTACTGGCTACAGATTGTCGAAGAAAAGATCTACACAAGCCAAGAGTTGGTTCAAGAAAATCTTCCATATCTTTTGCATATACAAACTCCAAAAGGTGTCCAATTTTCCTAACTACTTTCAACTGAGAAAGTAACTTGGAATCCATTTCAGGGGCAGATGCCAGAGCAAGACACAACTTGACATTGTTTACATTTGCACTTGACAGATCTCCAAGCAAAAATTCAAAACATCTTGAAACCATCTTCAGATCTAGAATGTCTGGAATCTTAATGTAACCAAACTCAATGAGCATCACAAGAAGCTTTTGTGCGTACATAGGAATAGGATCTTCATCATCAATCAATGTGGGATAGAGAGGAAGGAAATGAGAATTTGATATCAATTTCAAATCCTCTAACTTCTGCTCATGTACAAAAGGTTCATTCAATAAGATGACCATCACATCAAACAGAATTTTCAGGCACAGACATCTAGCATCACCATCTTTATTGCCCCTGTACAAAACAGTCAAACTACGAAGGATTCCACACGTGAAAACATCAAGGCTTTCAAGAATTAGTGGGCCTTCTTCAGCAATAGACTCCAGGACTCGTAGGAGAGTTATTTGGAAGTCATCCCTACCCTGGTCAATGAAAAATCTGTGCATTAATATACATATACCACTGACTATTATGCATAAGATAGGACCACACTTACTTTAATCTGCTTCAAAGTGGTTGTAATCTACAATCTGGCAAAGAAATTCCTAGCCAGTAGCATATAGAAAGTTACACAATCTTTGTATGTACATGCATTAGTTCCTCTGCTGTTTTTTCGCTAATCAATTAGCTTCCTTTTCTCTCTATTTTGTGGCCAAGACCAGTCAGTCAGTCAAGTGTCCAGATTATAGACACATAACTTTGAGTTTCCTCATTCAAAAATATAAATTTGGAGATCTAAAACAACAGACACATATAATGCTTGCTTATAATTCATCTTAGAACTTATAGCTAGATCTAAGGATGAAATGCCAAACCTGCACGAGTTAAAAACCAGAAATTATTTGCTAACACAGAATCACCCTGCTGCAATTACTCACCTGAAATGGCATCTCAGCAACTTGGATAAGGTTTGCCAACTGCTGCAAGACTTGATGAGTCACCACTTTGTTTTTAAAAGATGAGCTCCCAAGAAGATGGAGAACAACAGGAAACAAATGAATATTGGTCTTCGGAGCAACTCGACTGGTAAGGGCAGAGATATGACCATAGCGCTTTCCTCCTATCATTTGCTGAATATCTCCAGTTATATTATCCAGCAAGCCTGGCACTGTGGAAGCCACAACATGCACAAATGATTCTAAACACTGCTGCAAATAGCTATCCTTCTCTTTTGCCAATCTGTCCACAATGGACAGTAACCGTGCACTGCAAAAGAAATGTGGTAACCACCTTTTACCATTTTTACAAAGAAGGGCCACAAAAACAAGTGCCTTGCCCCTTAGAACTTCACTTCCTTGCTCAATGAGAGCCACTAGACTGGGGACCAGATTCTTGTCCTCTATCAACTGTAACAAGTAACGCCCAATATTCGTGAACAGGTGGCTTCCAAGCATGGCCATATTTAGAAGGTTTAAGCTAATTTGCTGCTCACGTGCACTGCCCTTGACAAGGGAAGATGCTATGTCCTTGAATGAAAGCTTATCTATAACTGACTGAATGCTAGGAGGATTAAAACGAACAAGACGAACCAAACATGATCCTGCACAAAGCCTCATGCTCTCCTGCTTCCCTGAAGCCCTATAAATGTAATAGAGGTTGCTAATTACATCTTGACTGGTAAAGCGAACTGCCCAGTTTCCCCCTTGACTGCAAATGTTTTCGATAGTCCTGAGTGCATAAAGTTGAGTAATATCATCCTCTCCTTTACGTAAGACTGAGGACACTAATGAAATCAGTGAATTTGGAACCTGCAGAATGCAAACAATCTCTGTAAGAAGAGAATCAAAAGTAAAAGAAAAGCAGAAAGGAGAGAAAGCATGATGGACTAAGTAATATCATTTAAACCACGAGAGCTGTTCAAGCATCAGTGTAGAATCTCCAATTCATAGAAGAAAAGGGTAAATTTTGACTAAATGTACTGTGTACATCAGTTTAGGATTATTTTAAAAAACACAGATTAGTTGGGATTTAGGAGGTAAAAGCGATAGCCCAGAAAGCAGACCTGCCAACCATTTGTAAACCTGCTGTCTTTTGATGGAGATTCTAGAAGATTGTTATCTCTTCTGTGCTCATTCTGTGTGGAGATGTAGAACAGCAACTCACCTAAAGCAGCCATAGAAAATCTCCTCACTTTTTCCTGCTTGTCTCTGAGACCATCAGCGAGTGCACCTAAAATTCCAGAATGTGCCAAATCATCTTC